TTGTTAAGGCCTAATCTCATACCAATATGGAAATCTCTGAATAGTAATGGTTCAAAAGCCCAAGAACACAGAAATTGTTGGCCTTGAAGGTTTGGGCCTAAAGAGGAGATGAAAACTTTTTATTTTCTGAATTAGTTCATGATTGCAAAGTTTTGAATCCACTCATCCTTTGGTCAAATCTTAAATTTGCAGGATCAACGGTATCTTGTCACCGAACTACGGAACAAGTGAGGAAGGAGCTGTATATAAAGGCGGCTGAGCAAAAGCTAGGATTATAATCGATTTTGAAAAAAAATGGGGAATCAGTCATTTTCTAGAACTAGAGAGAGAGAGAAGACAGGTATATAGATCGAAACGTGGTAGAGAAACAGTATAAAAAAGAACAGCGAAACGTGGGGCAGAAGAGAACATAATCATGATAACTGCGACTTCTAAAGTGTCCACTTTAGTTTGCTGCCAGGAAAAAACATTAACAAATAAAACAACAAAAGTTATCCCACTTTCTACATACATTAACTTACGATACCTTATTCATATGTTAGTGAAGCGTAACTGAGTTAACACTCTTATATAATCATGTGGTCTATGTACTATATGTAGACCACACGTGACGTACGTATGTATTCATAACCAGTAAGTTTTTGATTTGGTATGAAGTCTGCAATGTTATAGATTAGTTTAGCGAACAAACAAAAAGTTATAAACAAAAATGTATGTGTGCATGTGTTAGTGACTTAGTGGGTTTGCTCCATAATATAAAGAAAGTGAGAAGTGACTTAATGTGCACAAAGTTACCTTTGGCCAAAAGACCAAGGCCGGTACATAACGATTAACAAATTAGTATTTGCCACCATGTCCTTATATGATTATATATTTATTTGTGACTCATCTATAATCCTCTAATTTTATATATATCTTTATATGCAACCACCAAATAGGCCAAATTGATTAGTGCATATTGATCTTGCTAGATCTTCCAAACAGTCTTCGTATCAGTCTTGTTCTTTTAACGAAACAATAATGCTGTCTTATTCTACTGTTTTTTAGACGTTAAACGCGATTTGACTACTCCCTTTATATTTTTTTCGGTTTTATATTTAAATAAGTCGTACAACAAAATATTAACGGTGGCAGTAAGACCAATTTGCAACAAAAAAAAAAAAACTTGTACATTCCAAAACTAACTCGTGTTTTAAACATTGTGTAGGGATTTAGCCACAACTCAAAAGTCTTCAAAACCTTAACATAACTAATGTGACTATTTTTTACAATCAATCGCTATAGCCATGGGCGAATCTAGGCCTGGGCATTTTCCGGTTCGGATCGGGTTCGGGTCGGGTTATGTCGGGTCCGGGTCCTTCGGGTCTTAGATATTTAGATCCAATAGAGTAATTAGACTTTGTCGGTTCGGGTCCTACCGGGTCCAGGTCGGTTTGGGTCTTATATAGTTAGATCCAATGGGGTAATTAAAATTTATTGGTTCGGATTCGGTTCGGTTTCGGGTCGGGTTCGGTTCGGGTCCTACCGGGTATGGCCCAAAAAAATACCTAAAACACACAAAAAATACTGGAAAATATTTAAATATCCAAGAAATACCCAAAATTTTACACAAAACCTCCCCCAAATACATAAAAATATCCAAAACTTTATCTGATTATTCAAATTATATTTTAAAAAACCTAAAATTTTACTTAAAACCCGTAATTATATCCGAAAACCCAAATCCAAGATATAAAATAATACTCATAATACCATAAAAATACTAAAACATATATATATATATATACATAATATATACTAGATGTTTTGGATATTTCGGGTATCCCATCGGGTCTCAGATTCGGGTCAAGACCCGCGGGTCCTCCACATCAAGACCCAATAGGGTAAAATGATCGGTTCGGTTCCTACCCGAACCGCATATTTTCGGGCCGGTTCCGGGTCGGGTCTTCGGGTCCGGGTAAAATGCCCAGGCCTAGGCGAATCTACGCTATAAAGTTGGGAGAATTTCAATTATACCACTTTAGTGGTACCACTTTTCATGTTTACCATCAACAAATGAATATTTTCAAAAATACACATTTAATTAAAGGATAAAAGACTTTTATATCCTTGTTCTTTATATATATACATAAAATAAATATTAAATAAAATATTAACCCTAAACCCAAAAACATCAATTTTAAACTCTAGACCCTAAAAAGTAAACCCTAAACCCTAAAAATCAACCCTAAACCCTAAAATATCAATTCTAAACCTTAAACCCTAAACTCTAAACCCTAAAAATTAAACCCTAAATCCTAAAATATCAACACTAAACCCTAAACTATCAATCCTAAACCCAAAACTCTAAACCTTAAATTATAATAGTATTTTTGACTATTAAAATTTTAATGGTAAAGTTGGTTAGTGTAAAGTTGAAAAGTGGTATCATGAAAGTGTTATTTCTGACAATTTCCCTATAAAGTTTGTAGATTTGTCTGTGGCTATAAGTTTTTAAGGTTTGTAATGTGCTTCTAAACAAAAACTTCTACATAAGGTAACAAAAAGTTACAGTTATACCTTCAACTAATTAATTAGACATCAAGCTTGAATGATAATGACTAACTAATTTACTATTTGAAAAAAAACTAGGTGTCCATGTGCATAAAGCATTACGGATCTTTTGAATACCTTCACTAGGAAACTAAAACAATAATTAAAGACAGTGCAGCACTACTAGCACATAGTATAAGGTATATGCCTTAGGTTTTTGGATTTATAAACATTCAAAGTATAAATGGTATATACTACTGGATATTTGTCTTCGTCATTTCTTATTTCAGATTTAGGTACGTGATAATGATTCACATATCAACCTTAGCTGCGCATAACCCCTTGAATTCGTGATTTCAAACTAGAATATTACAGATAAAAACAAACATTCCAGTTTTATGTTTTCTAATTTGATCAAAGTATAATAAGCGACATGCAAGCATAATTAGTTCAGCTGGCTATAAAGATTATTATTATTTGATAGACTCTATGATGCTACGTACGAATCGAAAAGTGACCTATACTCAATAGTGAACTACCAAATAAACAATTGACAGTTGGATTGAGATCAGAGAGAACATATACTACAAAAGAACCAAGTTTTGTAAAAGACATATCATAACCAGTAATGTGATCATATAGTATTAGCATATGAGCCATTGATTGCATATACATGTTATTATATGGAATATAAATAATGGAGTGGTTACATAACCATAAAGGGTAAGGGCATATGAAAATGATCTAAAGAAGAAAGAAAGTAAAGGGTATGAGCTGAGATCAATATATAGCTTTACACGTTAGAAGTAGTCAGTGCATATGAATCCATCACCATTATAAATAATACTTTAATATATTTTTAATTTTCTTGCTTCATGACGAAAATGTTAATTAATACTATGTACAGAGACAGATTAGTTATATATTGATGTTTGGTTTTAAAATTGTTAATGCATATATTGATCTAGTAAGTGTTTTAGGTAATGGGCATGGCCACTAAGAAACTGCGAGAAGTCTAGGCTAAGGAAAGTATAGAGACAGACCTTTCAGTGTTTGAAAAGCAAAGTATAATTACTAAATGAAATAATAATAAACATTTTTATTAGTTTATTGTTATATTTCAGAAAATAATCAAAAAGAAAGGTTCCTCATGCGATATGTCATTTTCAGCTTAACCCTTCTGGTTGGAGAGGTAAATACCAAATTAAAACACGATTTTTTTCAAGATTGTTTTACTATTTTTAGTTAAACACAGACCAAAAACCTTGATAAAAACTATTTACGTGCGATATAGTTAAACTGAATAACATTACGTTCTTTTATTAAGAGTCAAGAAAACGTATCACAAAGGCAATTGATTAAAATACATTTTTGGGGATTTTACACTACAACAAAAAACAAATCCACTTGATTTTCCTTATTTAATTCTACATTACATTTGCCATTTTATTATTTAAATATATTCGCCTTAACACCTAAAATAATTCTGTATCTACTCTACAACGCCGGTTGGTATATCATATAGTACTATTTAAAAAGAAATATACAAATTGATGAGTAAGACAGCATTATTATTGGTGTTATGATATTTTTTCATTATTTTCTTGTTTGTTAGTTCCCATAAAATATTTTAATTTTTTTCTATATTTTAATTCTCTTACATAAAATTATCGTAACAACACGCGCACATACTGTATTCCATTTTTTTATTTAAACCCATAATAAAATGGCAAAAGGAAAATCAAAAGAACAAAACAGCAAAGAACAAACGTCTTCTTCTTCTTCTTCTCTCTACACAACAAAGAGCTTCTCTCTCTCTCTTTTGTCTTTCCCATTCTTTTCTCTTTTGTCCTCCTTCCTCTTCACTCTCCGTATCTTACAATCGAACCCGAAACGTCTCTTCTTCCTTCTCTTTCTGTCTATTTTCAAAACCATTTCTCTCTGCTCTTGTCTCCTTGATGATACTACCCTTGTCTTCATTCCCACTCCCGACATACCCATTTCATCTCCATCTCCTACTTTTAAGAAAAATCTAATCTTTCGTGTCTTTTCACTAACCAACACGGCATTTCCACTCGCAAATCTATAAAAGTTCGATACTTTATCGGTCTGAATCTCGAGAATTCTAAAGACTCACAGACCCACGTGCTCTCCTATTTAAAGGTGTGTAATGAAATTCTATATGAGCTTCTGTTTGGTTTCACTGTCTTATTCTGCGTTTTTAAATGTTCTGATTGGTTCATTAAATTTGAACCCAAAAAAAAAAAATTGGTTCATTTAAATCTGTTTCCTTGGTCCTAAATTGATAGATGATGGGGTTTAGTTTAGGTATTTAATGATGTATGGTGTTACCAGATATTCGCTTGTGATGTAAGCGTCAAGACAAACATTTTTAATTTGTTTTACCTAATACCTAATCTTTTGTATTTAATTGTCATGAGTTGAATTCTTGACGTTGAAAAAAAGCATCACACAAACTTTCTTCTTTTAGTTTCTGTCTGTCTGAAAAAAAATAATTATTGCAATGGTAGTAGACTCAGTCTAGTTATTATTTCCTCTTTCTTCATTTTAGATGTGAGATTATGCATGTCTCCTAAATCAAATCTGGTTCAAAACTTTCTCTCTTGATGTGTTTTTGTTATGTCTTGAAGAGGTTAATGGATTATCTATGTTGTTTAGGATCTGATCAAGTCTGCTATTTATTTAATTTTTATTGTATCACTATCTTTTGATATTGTTATTAGGTGAATTTTCAAGATAATTTTTTTTTTTTGAACACATTTTCAAGATAATTTTGTGTTGTTTTTTCAGTAAATGGAAGCAGAAACATCTTGGACTCATTATCCGTACAACTACATTACTACAACATACATCACTGAAGCTGAACCATACTCTGAGCAAAGCGATGATGATGAGACCACCAAAGACCAAACCCTCTCAATAGATTCTCTCCTCCCAGACGATTTACTTGAGAGAATCTTATCCTTTCTCCCTATTGCAAGCATCTTCAGAGCAGGAACCGTCTGCAGAAGATGGAACGAGATTGTATCTTCACGAAGATTCTTATGGAACTTCTCCAACAACAACAACAACTCTGTCTCTCAGAAGCCTTGGTACTTCATGTTCACTAGCACTGATGATCCATCCGGTTATCTTTATGACCCGGTTATCAAGAAATGGTACACCTTTGATCTCCCTTGTATTGAGACATCGAATTGGTTTGTTGCTTCCTCTTGTGGATTGGTTTGTTTCATGGACAATGACTGTAGAAACAAGATCTACGTATCAAACCCTATCACTAAACAATGGAGGAGGCTCATTGAGCCACCAGGTCATAAATCTACAGACTACACAGCTTTGTCTACATCCATGAACAGAGCAAAACAGAGCTACTCTGTTTCTGTAGTGAAGTCAAAGCAAGTTCCGGGGGATTTTTTTCAATGGGAACTCTCTATTCACCTCTACAGCTCTGAGACAATGACGTGGACAACGTCCTTAACCGATGTGTTAACCGGATGGAGAGGAGGAGACGAGAGTGTGATCATCAACAATGTTCTTTACTTCTTGATTTACTCCACAGGAGGGTCTGATCATCGCCACGGCTTGATTGCTTCCACCTTATCATCATCCTCCTCCACGTCATCTTTGATGAGGAGTTTCATTACAATGCCGTGTTCTTTAACCTGTGGGAGGTTGATGAATCTCAAGGAGAGGCTTGTGGTTGTTGGAGGGATAGGGAAGCAAGATAGGCCAGACATTATCAAAGGGATTGGGATATGGTGTTTGAGAGAAGGTGGGAGAGAGTGGCAAGAGATGGCGAGGATGCCTCAGAGATACTTCCAAGGGTTTGGTGAGTTGGATGATGTTTTTGCGAGTAGTGGCGCTGATGATATGGTTTATATACAGAGTTATGGTTCTCCTGCGCTTTTGACTTTTGACATGAAGTTGAAGTGTTGGAAGTGGTCTCAGAAGTGTCCTGTCTCCAAGAAGTTCCCTCTTCAGCTCTTTACTGGGTTTAGCTTTGAGCCAAGACTCGAGATTGCTCCTTAAGCTATGATACAGGAGTAATGCTTTTGTTATTTATAATTTGGTACTTTATTAATTAAAGATTTATCTAAAGAGAGTGATATATTTATAATTTGATCAATCGAATCCTCGTTTTCTTTTGTGTCTGTGGCCCCACAATATCTCATGGTCTGAAACTTGAGGTTGTTGTCTTGTTGCTGTTTCTGGAGGATAAAGTAAATTTTTCTTAAAAATTACAAATATTAATAATTGTTTTTAATGTGTACTTATTGTAGATAGCTGTAAATGATTTTAAGATTTTATGTTTTGTACTTGAATTGAAAAACTGGACCTAGATTGGTGATGGGAGTTTGTCAGGTTTGGCAGTGGTAGGTTTACAGGTAAATGGACAACAGCTATTTTGTTGTAGTATTTTATAGTTTTTTTAAGGGTCACTTTTTTCAGTTTTTAATAGCTTTAATAATTTGCTTAAATCATACTGTTTTTTTTTAATAATAACGTTTGTAGGGCTGGGCAAAAAAAACCGAACCCGAAAATCCA